GCTCATCTTAGATACTTCAAGATTGGGGACTTCATCCTCAAAAAGGTTTTTCAATTGAAAAAAGTGGCCAATGCAGGAAATTTGAGTCCAAATTGGGAAGGACCCTACAGAATTCGAGGCATTGCTGGAAATGGTGCGTATGAGGTAGAAATAATGGAGGGCAAAGTACTCCCATAATATTTGGAATACTGTTCATTTAAAGAAGTATTACTTCTAAGCAAAGGAAAATCCCCTAGTTAGGTATCATTCGTGTATGGTTTAGTTTTGTTCTTTTTTAATTATACTAACCATTTTAGATGATATGCACAAAGCTAGCCCATACCAAATGATGATATTAGGCCTGAAAGACATGCATGATACAAAATTATTCCCCGTCTAGCTTACAACCTTTAAATAAAATGGGTTAAGCAGTCATCATCTAAAAATATACCGCCTAGTCCCGTATGTATTTTCCTTTTCAGGAAATGTATCAAATGGAAAGAATAATCAAGTGCTCGAGATTTCATACTTCAAAGCTCTAACATTTGGCAGACTATAGATATGAAGGCAAAGAAGACTAAAAGTCAGAATTCAAGTCTGGATCAACTCAAGAATCAAAAGTCAAGAGCCATCAGAATTCAAGTCTGGATCAACCTAAGAATCAAAAGTCAAGAGCCAATCAAGAGTAAAAAACAAGCCTGATTCAAAAACCTTTGTAATAAGCTTTGATAAAGTGTAAACTCGCGGACATAAATTATAATATCCTGCGGTACTTAGGTTAAGGGCAATGATTAGTCATGGGTTGCAAGATATACCCTAGAATTTTTGAAACCTGTTATAAGAAAAACAGTTATGAAAGAGTTATAGATGTCGTACAAAGAGTTAATTGAATACTTGTAAAGTGTTATGTAATTTGAAAGTTCAAAACATGAAACTTCCTCAAATTATTCATGAAACTTCTTTAAAATATGCATTTTCCTACTTCTCTCATATACATATACCAATATGAAGTTGAGACGTCTTCTTCTTTAGTGTCGTTTATAAAAGGTCCCTCTTTTATAAAATTTGTGTCTATGCCAAAATTACGAAATATTAAAGCATTTTTAAATGCAAATCAAAGAGTTTAAACAAAAACTCAAATTAAACAAAAGATCATATATTAAACTTGGCTAAAACTAAGTATATACTTAGTTAAAACCAAAATGTTTGTTTGGTAAACAAACCCCAAAACGAACCAGGGGTAAAAACTAACCAACCATTCCAAAAAGTAAAAAAAAAAAATTCCCATCAAAAGTTCAAAAACAAACTAAGTTCTGAAAGAACATTAAGGGGCAGAGTCCAATATGGCATTTTCAGCAACAGGAGAGGCAGAATCTAATATGGCATCATCAACAGCGGGAGAAGATTTAACTTGAGCAGAAGAAGCTTGAATACCAACTTCACCAGGAGTAAGTTCATCACGTTCGGGAACTCCGACCTCAGGTGAGGAAAAGCTCTGACTTTGCTGAGTTTTTTCAATTTTTTCCTTAGCCTTGGCGATCTCGGCATTCAAGTCAAAGACTTCCTGGCTAGCCTCCATCAAAGTCTCGATGCTGGTATTCAAAAAAGCCCAACTTACATCAAGTGTCAATTTATCTTCAAGAGCTTCATAATCTTTCTCCACTGGTCAATTTCAGCCTTCATCTCTTCTTTCTCAATCAAAGAAGCATCATAAGAAACCTTCAAAAGGGTGAGGGAACTCTCCAAGAACTGGATCTTATCAGAAGAGACACAGAGGTCTTCTTGAACCTGAGTGAGTGTTTGAACTAGCTGCCCATCATAAGTCTCCTTCTGATTAAGGAGTTTTTTCAAACCCCTTATTTCCTTGGTAGCTTTAGAAAGTTGCTCTGCAAATGAAGACTCAAGGATGTCTTTGTCTTTGCCAACTTGACTTGAAGAGGCTTTTTCAATTGCCAATTTCGCTGCCATCATCCTTGCTTGCTGTTCCAAAGCACACTTCTCTTCAGCTAAAACTTCTTTCTCCAATTGAAGACCCTTGTATTGTTCCTTCCAGTTATCTGCTTCAGTATGATAATCATTGACTAGATGCTTATGTGAACAATTCTCTTCATAAGCTCCGTGCCTATCAAGTTGATCTATAAAAGAAAAGAAAGAAGTGATTGTCAAACAAAAGTAAATAACCACGAGAAAAAGAAAGGAAAAAGCTAAGACTTGAACCTTCAGAGATGAATGAACAATATCATTCATCCATGTCAAGGAGCTGTGGCTTTCCAACTTTGACTTCTTAACTGGGCCAAGTAGAGGTTTCAACCATATGTCGACTTGACCAGACTTTTTCAACAAATTACCACCTTCAGGGACTTCTATGGTAACTTTTTTCATCACTCTATTGCTATTAGAAGTACCAATTTCAACATGAGAAGTAGTAGAAACAAGGACAGTTGAGGAGGTGAAAGTAGCCACGGGAGGAGCTGTAGCAGCAGCCAAAGGAACGACTGATTGAGAACGAATGGGGACTGGCGATGGAAGAGGAGCAAGAGTTAATTCTTCAGAAACGGGGCCAAAATCTTTACTATTAAAACCATAGAAAAATAGTTGATCAGTAAAGTCACGAGGGAGAGCATTCATCTCTTCATCAGAACTTACTAAAGTAGCACTTGCAGGCTCATTTAAAGGAACTGAACTTGGAGGAGGGGTGACTTCATCATCTGAAATAACGCGCCTCCTAACTCGAGGTCTACGAACTAAAGAACCTTCCTCTAGTTCTTCTTCTCCCTCCGAGCCACGGGCTCCATCAACCTTCCTCTTGGAACTCAGAATTCTTTCTTGAGCAAGGCTCACAGTAAGTCTTACAGATGAAACAGAAGCGGGACTAACACCATGAATGAGAAATCCTAAAGAAAAGAGTCATGGTAAGAAACTCTTAAGTTAGCAAAAGAGAAAAAGAAGAAGACTAAGCAGGAAAAAGTACCATGTGTTTTAATTTTCCACCCAAATATCTGAGAGAGATACTTCCAAGATCTTCTCTCCATAGGGGCAACATATAGCAACTTTCCTACCCAAGCACGAAAGTTGGGGATTTCAAACTTCCATAGTTGCTGAAAAAGTAGGGGTGGGAATACATGAGGTGATTATATTCGAAAACGGCAGCAGAGAATTTTCGCCATATATAAAAAGCTTTCCACTTCCCTGAATATTTAATAGAGAATATTCAAGAAAGTGGGGGAGGGGGACTATCTGTATTGGTGGTGAAAAAGAGCTACACGTGGAATATTAGACTGCTGACATGACATAACGCGTGGAACAATAATACAACGACACGTGGCAATCTTATTTGATGGAAAAAGAAAATGCACGGGGAGAAATACCACGAGACGACACCATGCCTAACAGCTGGCAAAGAAGGAAAGCTACATGGACCAGAAAGAAATAAGGAAGGGGAATCGTAACAGATGTAATGCATTTATAGCAATAAATGCATCGGTTATGAGAATCTAAGATAGTGAACAATCAATATTATTAATGCCCATAATTAGCCCAAATTATAGGAAAAAACCACTACTATTGTATATTCCTATATAAGGGCACAAAATTCTATTTGTAAGGACACATCGGAGACAATATTGAAATATACACTTTACTTTTTTGCTTTCTAGAAATTCTCTACCTTGACTTTACAATCAATTATTTCCTTAGTTATTCTTGTTATTTTCCTTTGATATCAGTGAGAAAGTGAAGCAAAACTTGGTTATCAGAAGCCCGTTTTCTTTTAAAAAAATTAAACTTTGATTAAAAGATATATTTTTGGTTAAACACCTAACAACAATAACAATGAAAGATAAAAGAAATTTGGTCCCGATTATTTAGTGGTTTTTGGCAAACAGAGAGTTTAAGAAATCTTTAATATCAAATTGCTCATTTTATAACTATAGAGACCATTACTTTGGTTCCTACTTTTAGCATGTAATTCTCTTTTCGCGAAGTTAATTAAGTTATTAACGTATAAGTTAAATGAAGGATTGCTTTTCAGCTTCTTATGTTCCTTTTTATTTTGACATTTTCTTTTCCACCTCTTTGACCTTAAAACATTATATAAGTTGTAATACATGTTGTTTATATAGTTGTGATAGTGAAATGCAATTAAAATTTGATACTGTTGGATGACACCTGAGAAGAAGATAAAGCAATTGAAGTTATATAAAAATATTATGAATGATCCAGTTCCCTTTTTAGCAATTTTTTTGAGAAAATCATAAGCACTGTCACCATTTTATTTATTTCATATCAACTTCTGATAAATCCAATATTTTCTCTTTTTAAAACCAGATATCAATGTAGCCATTAGAATAATTTTAAATTTTACAAAATAAGCTTTTTCAAATACATTATAGTTACCAAAGATTATGTAGTGCGAGGTTAAGTTTAATTTCTATGTTCCTAAAAAGAATGATATAAATCCTTAAATATTCTCAATAGTTGCATAAATATTTGAAAAATAAATAAATAAAGTTCATTAATCATGCTATTTTTAGATTAAAAAGTAGTTGAATAGCAATCAAGAAAATTATTGACTTCCCAAACAATAATATAGTACTACGTGGGCGTTTGGACATAAGATAGGTAAAATTCCGGAAAAAAGTGATTTTTTTTTAAGTGAAAATGGTATATGGAAATTAAAGTTGTGTTTGGACATGAATAAAATTTAGAGTTATTTTTGAATTTTTGTGAGTGATTTGAAGTTAAAATTTTGAAAAATAATTTTTTGGAGTTTTTCAAATATTTGAAAAATTTCGAAATAAATTTGAAAATTTTATGAACAAACACTGATTCCAAAAAAAGTTTGAAATTTTTTCGGAAAAAATTAAAATTTTTCTTTGGGCCAAACGGGCCCGTCTTGCTTGGAGGGAGAGCATTTTTCATACCATTTGTGTACCTACGCTATACTACTACCGTATGTAGAGATAAATATACGAGTATAACGAAGGTATGTAGAAAGTATTGAAGCTTATTGCTACTCTATCTTCTTTTTTAGCTCACTGAAACAAAAACTCTCAAAAGAAAAGAACAACAAAAAATTCACCTGAAGAGAAAAAGAAACGAAAAGAAACGAAAAACCAATTGCCGTAGAGATCACCGGAAGAAGTTCAGCGATGCAACGTGGAAGTGGCGGTGCCGGTGGCGTAGGTGGTGGATTATCCCGATACCGTTCAGCTCCGGCAACATGGTTAGAGGCACTTCTCGAATCCGATACTGAAAACGAAGTGGTTCTTAACCCTTCTTCTCCCATTTTACACTCCCCCAACAAACCACCACCCCACCCATCAACTACTCAGCAGCAGCTTCCGGAGCTTGTTAAACCGGAAACTAGGTTCACCGGCGATCCGGGTCTGTTTGAATCCGGCGGTAGTAGTAATTTTCTCCGGCAGCAGAGTTCGCCGGCGGAGTTTCTTTCACATATTAACTCAGATGGTTACTTCTCAAGCTATGGAATTCCCTCCAGTTTGAGCTATATTTCTCAGCCCATTAAGCGGCCCAGAGAAGATGATTCCGAAAGTTCGCCCAGAAAATTATCTAACCACTTGGTTAGTATAAACTTTACCACCTCATCTGAAGTTTAAATTTTTATTATCCCTAAATTCGGGTTAATATTTTTCTTGAGGCAAGCATGTGGATATTTCAACCTTGGAAAGTATTGATTTTACTTGTTAATGTTTGTAAATTTAACATGGTCTTGAATATTCATCTGATTACATGACTTGACTTTCCATTAAAAAAGTTTGTCTACCCTTTGTATTGTTTTTTATGGCTACACGAATGAGATTGTTGAAAGCATACTTTCCGTGTGGAAGTAACATATTTATCTTCTTCTATATGTTTCTTTTCTTGTTATTCCCTTCGTCCCAATATATGTGGCACCATTTGACTTTGGATACAGAGTTTAAGAAGAAATCAAGAATGACTTTTGTACCTTGTGGTCTAAAACAAGCCTTAGACATTTGTATGTGGCTATAAATCATCTCATTAAGGTAATATGGATATTCTAAAGTTAAATTGTTTCTAAATATAGAAAGGTGATGGGATGGTGTCCCACTGCCACATAAATTGGGACAGAGGAAGTATTATTTCTATATGGATTGAACTTTAAGTCTTCTTGTTGTTGTCCAAATATAAGCAATGGCGAAAGGTCAGTATACGAGGACAATACAATTGGTTCCTTAAAATTAGTAATAACAAATTATTAGTTAATAACACTACCAACCAATAGTCGTTGGAGACTGTTGTGCATAAACTTTGAAGCAATTCTGTCTAATGTGTGTGTGATCTGACTTTTGTTTTTTGGGGTCTCCTGAAGCACTATTCTTTCTATTAATATTTACGTACTTACAGCTGTTTGTGTTTGGGAGGTGTAGAAGGGAGAGCCAAGTGGACAGTTACATGGTTCTGGTGGATCACTAGATGCTGAAATGGAGAAGCTCATGGACGATTTGGTGCCTTGTAAGGTTCGAGCAAAGCGTGGTTGTGCTACCCATCCTCGCAGCATAGCCGAGCGAGTAAAGCATTTTCCTTTTTTTCCCCTTTTACTTGTGTTTATAGGCAATTTAAATCAACCAGTCATTAATCTAACTAGGTTATGCTTGTACTTCTCTTGTGCAAGGTTCGTCGAACGCGCATAAGTGACAGAATAAGGAAGCTTCAGGAACTGGTGCCAAATATGGACAAGGTAAATTATTTATGGGAGCTCCTTGTACATCTTTCAAAGAGCTGCATAAATAGCAATTTCATGAAGGCTTTGACTTATGCTAATTAAAGGGATTTGGCGCCTGTTATTTTCACCCTTTTATCATGTCTCCCTCAACAGGAAAATGATGAACAAGACAACCACCTTTAATCTTGAAGTGATAATCAATTTATTTATGACATCAATGATCCTAATGGGTGAGTCCACCAAATGAATGGAGAAAAGTAGTTATGAAGATTAAAGTATGCATCTTGTGGAAATTGATTCCAGACTTACTGACAACTGATTCTATATAACATTATTCAATCTTAAAGATGATTTTACACAAATCTAATAACTAATTGTTCAAGTTTTAGCCATAGTTAAATGGCAAATGCTTTCTAAATAATACCACTGAGTCCCTGCTAAATGGTTTACCATTTTCTACAGGGTTGATTATGGTCAATGTAACACTCACCAGAGATAAGCTCTCACCTATTCACCAAAGACCAGTAATCATTAGAGTCGGTCCTAATCTTTAGAAATTGTAAGAAGTACGACAAATTTCATTTCTCCTTGTTGGATATGTTTCATCTGCTTATGCCAAGCCTTCCATGATGAACTCACAATAGCCAATCAACATCAAACCCTGAGCTTTTCCCCTGCATAGGGGACTAAACGGACCTCTAATCTTGATTGTCAAAACTCAACCCTCTTGTTGCTAGTTGAAGTAAAGGCCAGATCTTGCCCATATTCTAGAGATTTTCTCGACAGTCGAAGCATTTTGAACAAATTCTCAGTGACGTCCTAATAGCATGTGCTAGCGTTACATGGATGATTTGGTTGTTTTTCAAACAGCAATTGTCGACCACCTCAAATATTTGCAATATTAAATTCCTCATAAATGACAATTCTCCCAAACAGAGTGCCCCATTAGATGAAGATTATTCTCCATGTGATGAAGATCGACTTGGGGTAGATAGTAGTATGACATAAATATCACTGCACAGGTGGCATTCTTTAGTTCGGAACTTATCAGTAAAAATATATGAGCCTTTTTCTGCTAGGAAGCCAGGGTAAGCACAATAGACATCCTTTTGATAGGCAAAGCCTTAAGCTTTTGTAGAACCATACCGCCTAAAAAAGCTTACAAGGACTATATATGATCTTACATGTAAAGTTCAAGGTGGATGATCCTAACATTGGTTGGGACCCAAATTTGTTCCTGGATTGGTTAGACGCAGATTTAGGATTGAAGCATAATTGATTGATTGATTTGGTTATATATTTTAGAAGATTACTCTCAGTTGTTTGATATGCTAGATATTTTATTTTGCTAGGATGAACATGTTGGGAGTGCCAGGAAGTACGGTTAAAGTGTCGTTTCTGAGATAGTATTTTGGTCAATCATCAGTTATTATGTGTGTTAAAAATGAAAGAAAAATTTAATTAATGATGCATTCCCAAACTTCCGAAAATCCAACCAATAGATCAAATGCTTAAGCTTAGCAATGAACGCTAATATTACCAAGTACGTCTTGATTCCATGATCTTTAATTTAAGTTTGAGTTAAAGAATCCAGGTATGTTACTGTTTCTAGGTGTATAATTGAGTCTTTGCCTTTATTTACAAAAAAAAAAAGAGTTTTTATCTTATAGCATGAGCAAAGTACTCTCATTGTCCTGTCTTTTAAAGATTGCACACCAAAATGTCTTTCTTCAGCTGAATGCATACCAAAATATCTTAAGAGTTTGAGAAGCACTTTAAAATCTCCTTCCATTGACAGACATTTAAGATTGGAGAGTACGATAGCTTTGATTTGGCCTCTCAAAATATCTTGGAGTTTTGAGTGTAAAACCTCTTTATTATCTCCATCTCTCTTAGTCTTCTCTCTTTCTGTCTTTTGCTCTCTCATTCTCTCTCTCATATCTCTATTTCACCTTTTTGGTGCCATAGCATTTATCAAGCCCGTTGCACCCTTGAACTTCTCTTAGACCTCAATATGTGGCTGATGTCCTGGTTTATCCATATTTCTTATTTCATGTCTACGTGATCCTTAGTGTTTTGACTTCACTAAGAAACAGTGCCTTGCTCATTTTGGATCATTTTTGTTTGTGGTTCATGAGGATCAACAGTTGAAGCCCAAACTATGTGATTGAATAAATCCTCCTGCGGGTCAAGGGCTCCTTCTCCCTCCCCTTCTTCAAACTCTATTTTACAATAATGTGACATTATGGGTGTAAAGTTTGAATTTTTATTAAGAATGAACAAGTAAACCTAAGGTTTAAATATAAAAGATATATAATTCTCAGCAGATTTGGGGGGAAGTGCTGTTCTTATTGTAGTTCATGCAATTCATGATTAACACTGACTTTTGCTATCCACAGCAAACCAACACCGCTGACATGTTGGAAGAAGCAGTCGAATATGTCAAGTTTCTGCAGAAACAGATTCAGGTAAGTCATGAATTCACTCAAGTACTGAATATCCCGAAACTCACACAGAAAAGGTAGTGAGTTAGACAATAAGAAAAGTAACTTGGACAAAAAAAAAAAAGAAGAAGTCATTTGGACTAAAAAGAAATGAAGTGTACGATAACCTCAGACCAACAACGACCAGTTGGCTCCTCGCTGCTGCACATTAGCATAGAAAAGTGAGTGAATTGCCAGCCGTATGCGATTTCTTAACCCGTCTTGTTTCATATTTCTGCAACAAGAAATTACTTCCAGCTTCTGATTAAATACATTTAGTTATTAATTTGTGAGATCTTTTAATATAGTTATGTCACATAATTTAATTAATCATTAGTGGTAGTTACTGACGTAATGAAGTGCGTAGTTAAAAGAGGAAGCACTGGATTCTCACAATTAGACCCAAGGAAGGGTTTAATTTTAGAAAATCTAATGCTGCAGGAGCTTATGGAGCATCAGAAGAAATGCACGTGTTCAGAGAAAGATCAATAATTTGAAGAAGAGAGTTCCACTAGAGTATATAGGCAATAGTCTGCTCAGATGCATGCGCTTTAGACATGGTAATTTTATCCTCAACATCCTATTCTTCTTCATATGTAGATATTAATGGCAATTCACAAGAGCTTGGCCACTGCAGAATCCAAAATCAGCTTCTCTTTTAATATTAAATCTAGGTCGTACTCTGTTTTTTGGCGTAGTTGTATCATGTTGTATAAGGTAGTGTCAATTTGCTTAATATCAAATTTCTTCAGCTGAAAGACTTCTCTTTTCTGAAGATGTAGTCAGAATTGGTAGACCTGTCATGTTGAAAGCAAAATCAAATCAATAAATATTGTTGTAAATGTGAGACATGGCACATCATAACTTTCTTTTACATATCAAATTTGACTCTATAGGTAAATCATTTGTCCATGTACGAGCATATGTTTTTGAAGCAACTGGCCTGTGTAGATAGGAAAGAAGTTCATTGCAGGTCTGCTGATTAGAGTATTTGGATAGGGGAGCAATCTTTCTAATATGAGTTGCATATGTAAAAGTAAATTAGTAGGTTAACGGATATCTGCTGGAAACAGCAGCTCTGCATACATCAAGTTTTCTTGGGAAGCTACGAATAGCTGAAGAAATTATGATGTTGTAATATGTATATTATCCTTCTGTGCTGTGGAGAGAAGGCAACATCAACATATAGATGCTCATATTACGTAAGTTACAAATAGTGTATTGCAGGGACCAATTGCCAGCTATATTCGCTCCTTGCCCCGGTGAGCAACCTTCTTTTCCTGTTTAAAAAACAGAATAAAACTAGTACAAAATTGATTTTAGATGCTCTTGCTAGATTTAAATCAGAATATGTAGTTTATAACTAGCATCGAGAAGCCAGTGGTGATGCACGCCTTTTTAAGGAAAACTGATACAGTATTACTCGTATGCATTGATGGCGTAAATTATTTACACTATCAAGTCATTTAAGAGCTTACAAGTAACATTACACAGCATTTGTAGATTAGTCGCCTACAAAATATGGTATATGACCTATTGCACCCGGTAATACTGACTTGGTAGTGTAAAAACTTACACCATTAGTGCATATAAGTTAAACTTTGATGTTAGGCTAAAATATCATTCTCTGGTTTATGAGTTGAAATGCTGAAATGCAGCTTATATTTAATTATACGTTCTGCTCTCGCTCTTTGGATTACAATTCTTTTTGGTTCATTTGCGTGCTTCATTCTTTAGATTTTGTATCAACGCGTATCATGCGAAACTACATTGATTGTGTGCTTGGGAGCTTTTGCAAGAACAGAGGCTTAACTTGTGGGTACATTTTGATGAAAATATCGAATATGTAGCCAACTTCTGCATTCTAGACTTTTATCTTCCTTATAGGTGAACATATATTGACGCAGACTGGTTTAAAGCTGCTGTTGAAGTCAGAAATAGAGTCGACGACTAATGTTATTATGACTTCGTAAAATATGCTTCAGTGTACACGATTGGATCTTAGCCAGTGCAAGGTGCACGGCCACACTGCTTTCAGCTTGGAAGTTGTATACCTATATGTGAAAAGTTCAAAAAATGTGTGTATGCGCACGCAAGCTCTTAAAAAAAGACTGCATTTTTCTAATTTCCGAATTGAGAGGTTTTCATGAAAATTGGTATGTAAACATGAAATCCAAGTGCGTTAAGATGCAGAATAATATGAAATGACAACAACATATGCAGTATATTCCCACAGTATGGGGCTTGGGGAGGGTAATGTGTACGTAAGTCTTACCCCTACTTTGTGGAGGTAGAGAAAGCAATTTTTGATAGACATTGAAGAAATGCAATTCGCAATCCAGAATAATATCAATAGCCAACAAATGGGTGCAGAGTGCGCTGAGAGTTCATTAGTTGATAGGCGGAGTGTATGTCATTCATATAGCTTTTATCCGCAAATAATTACAATAAGTTATCACTGTTTATGTAGGAAAATCTTTAATATATGTCAATTTCGGGCAATATCAAGACGACGTAGCTGTATGGGTCAAAATATGTCATTAGAGTATTTATGCCAAGATAATACTAAGGGAAGAGTTCCCAAGTCGTCTTTGGACGAGATGGCCCAAGAAGCAACGAAGTCTAAGGTCGAAAAGTCTACGAGAGTCGTAGTCGAGATGTCAGCAAGGGTCGAGGTCGGATATCGTTGAGAGAGCTGTATCGGTTAGTTTTCAAGATAGGATATTAAAGAGAATATTCTAGTGGATATTTTCTGCATTTGTACTATTAGAGCTTCTTAGGAATATGTCCCATAAAAAGAGACAATGATAGGGCATGTGATATTCATGGTAAAAAAGACACTTTGACTAAAAGATTTGGCTCTCATTTACTAGCATACGAACATCACCTTTTTCTCTAAGATTCTGGTCGAGATGATTCCATCAAATTCGAGATAACTCGAATATTCGAGAATCTGTCTATCATTTGCTGTCTGGAGAAAGATCCACTTATTCCATCATTTATTGGTTGAATCATTTCTCTTATTTACTTGAATGTCATTTGTCGTTGTTCATTATTATTGAATCTATATTGTTGCTACTGATTTCTAGAACATTTATTACACGATATTATCACCGTTCGACTAGATCTGCAGTAGTCATTGTTTCTTTCAAGATCTCATCTAAGGATATTATTGTTAACTAAGATTAACCCTTATTCACATAAATTTAATTATTTGAACCAAGATTTATACTTTTTGGTCAAATAGCAGTATAAAGTGGTTGTGTGGTGGTTATAATTAGTAAAAACTAGATTTTCTTATTTGAATTTTTTAAATTTCTATGTCTTAAATTTTTTGCGACTTTTATAGTGTCACGACCCCTAACTGGACCCGGTCGTGATGGTGCCTCTCGTGAGGACAAGGCCAGCCGACACAATTCCCAAATCAACCATTTTCCATTAAAAGTTGTTTTTATACCATTTATAAATCAATAGTCTCATAATGAACATTTAAAAGAAAAATGCGGAATAATTACACAAGCCCGACATCGGGGTGTCACTAGTCATGATCATCTACCAAGGTCTGAATACAACAAGAGTCTAAAAATGTACTAAATACAATAGTAAAACGAGAGGAAGGGAGCAATGTTGCGAACGTCGTGCAACCACCTTGCTAACTCTGATGACTCCACGTCTGAGCAATCAACACCCACTACCGGGTTCCGAAATACCTGAATCTGCACACGAGGTGCAGGGAGTAATGTGAGTACTCCAACCCAGTAAGTAATAAGAGTAAATAAGGAATGAGTAGTAGGAAACGATGAGTCCACATTTTTGATAAACTCAATAGGCACAACAGGCTTTCAAATCGGAAATACGAGTCAAACGTCTCATTTAAAATTCAGCTTTTGGTAAAAATCATTTAAAAAGCTTTCCAACAGTTTTCAGTAGGGGTTTGACACCATTTATAATAAAAGAGATGAAAACCATAATCGGCCCCTCGGGCTAAACATAGTTCGCATACAGCCCCTCGAGCAAAGCAAATATTTCACAAACCTTTTCATAACTTAAAAACTTCAGTTTAAATGAAAGATTATTTAAAACGTTTGTTCAACATTTTCAATGGAGGCTCGGTTTAAAGATGAGTGAAAGCAGTAATCAAATCAACATGTTCAATAGAAACTCGCTTAAAGAGGAGTGAAAACAGTAAGTTCATAAACCAGCCCCTCAGGCAAAGCATCACTCATGTACATGTATATCTATGTAGCCTCTCGGGCAAGCCTCTCAGTCATTCGTGACTCAACTCTTACCAGTCAGCGCTCACACTTAGCACTCACACTCAATAGGTACCATATAGTAACAGCTGCGACGTGCATCCCGATCCATATATCGCTGCGGTGTGCAGCCTGATCCATATATATAGTCGACTACGCTCACTGGGGGTGTGCAGACTCCGGATGGGCTCCTACATGCCAAGCACTATATCGCTGCGGCGTGCAGCCCGATCCAACATATCGCCGCGGCGTGCAACCCGATCCATATATATATATATATATATATATTGCTGCGGCGTGCAGCCCGATCCATAGATATATAATTCTCACAACCAGGCCCTCGGCCTCTCTCAGTCATTAACCTCACAATCAGACTCTCGGTCTATCTCAGTCATCAACCTCACAATCAGACCCTCGGTCTATCTCTGTCCTCAACCTCACGATCACTCGGACCATCAGTAAAATAGGGAACTCAGCCCAACCAGTTTTCACATTTTAAGAAAAAAAGGAGATAAAACTAGATTCAAACAATAAACAGGTAAAACATGACTGAGGATATGCTTTTAAAACAAATAGAGTGAGGGAAAATAGTAAAAAATTCCCCTAAGGATCTCAATAGGTTGGCACAAGGCCCCAAACATGGCATACCGCCCAAATATAATATCAATCTCTAAAACATGGAATATCATACGATTTTCAAATCAAATACGCGACTTAGCAGTTGTACAGGACGGACCAAGTAACAATCCCCAATAGTGCACGGCACCACGCTCGTCATCTAGCGTGTGCGTCACCTCAAGTAGCACAACAATGTGAAATCCGGGGTTTCAAACCCTCAGAACAACATTTACAATCATTACTTACCTCGATCCGGTCCAAACTCTAGCCTACGATGCCTTTACCCTCACGAATCGACCTCCAGATGCTCCAAATCTAGCCATAATCAGTACATAACCATTAAAATATGCTAAGGGAACAAAGCCTACTCAAAAATATCCAATTTACATCAAAGATCCCCAAATTGCTCAAATCCGGCCCCTCGGCCCACGTCTCGGAATCCGACAAAATTAACATCAATAGAATCCTCATCCTCTCACGAGTCTATACATATTAAGAACATCAAAATCGAATCTCAAATGGCCTCTTAAATCCCTAATTTACACTCTTCAAATTCAAGCCCTAACTCCTCAATTTCAGGCTTAATTTCCATGATTAATAAGGTGGAATTCACACAATAATCGAGTATTGAGTTCAAAAATCTTACCTCCAGGTGTTATCTCTTGAATCCCTCTTCAAATCCTCTAAAAAAGCTCCAAAATTTCCCAACAATGGTGAAAATTAGCCTCAAAATCGTGGACAATGGCTATTTAAACATTCTGCCCAGGCATCAAAAACCTTCTTCACGAACGCGGTCCAAGCCTCGCGTTCGCGAAGCACAAAATCTTTAGACCAAACATTCCCTTATGCGAACACGGCCTCCAGCTCGCGAACGCGAAGCGTCCGCTTTCCAAACCATCACGAACGCGAACCCCTTACGCGAACGCGAAGCACAAAAAGGCCGGGACCCCATCTGATCCACTTACTCTATGCGAACGCGACACAGGCCTCGCGAATGCGGAGAATCAAAAATCAGAACATCGCAAACGCGACACAAGAAACGCGAACGCGAAGGCAAAAATCCGCGCCTCGGAAGAACACCCTTCACGAACGCGGGCCCCTGACTGCAAACGCGATGAACAAATTGTCTGCAATACTTCAGCTGGTTTTCTGCAATTTCAAACAACACAAAATGGTCTGATTGACCACCGAAACTCACCCGAGGCTCTCGGGGCCTCAACCAAACATGCCAACATATCCCATAACCTCATTCAAACTTGTTCTAACCTTTGGAACACTCAAAACAATATCCAAACACCAAAATCACATCAAATTCAAGCGTAAGAATTTCAAGAACTTCCAAATTACGCTTTTGATAAAAAACTCAATCAAAC